TGTGTGTATGTGTGTGTGTGTGTGTGTATGTGTGTGTGTGTGTGTAAAACGGCATGGTCAGAAAGACTGATCCCATTCCATGCCGATATAATGACCGGGTGTTCCATTTGGGCGAGGACGCTAGTGGCTTTCGTTCCATGAGTTTGGTTCTATGACTGGTTCCATAATTGCCTCGGAATCCATGATTGGTTGCATGATTGGTTCCATGATTGGTTTCAACCCCACTGTATTTTGTCAGCGAGACTCATACTCTGGGTGTAGCTTCAGCGACTTCAGTATTATTGATCCTTGAAAAACGGGAAGTTCCCCTATTGCTCCACTGTTACTTTTGAAAGGTGTTATCGAAAACGTGCCTCGACAGTGAACCGTTAAATACCACTCTCGAAGAGAGCACCTTGGGGATTGTTGGAATGTGGCCCCCCGTGCACGATGATTCTTTTGTTTTTTTAGCCATAAAAAAAGGAAGACGAAAACCTTCGGATGTTTTTTTTTTCTTCTGTTATGATACTATTTCCTCTTGTCTTCATCTGTATGATTTAGTTTTCCTCTGCTCACCGCATCTTTCCTTCTCTATTTACTATTTAGATCTGTTCTGGCATATGGATTCATGATTGGTTCCATGATTGGCTCCATGATTGGCTCCATGATTGGTTCCATCATTGGTTCCATAATTGGTTTTATGATTAGTTCCACCGAGAACCCCACTGCATTTTGTGAGTGAGACTCATACTTTGGGTGTTACTCCCATTTTCGAAGACAACACCATCGGATGTTATATTTTGTTGATCATGTTGATGTGTGTGTGTGTGTGTGTGTGTGTGTAATACGACACGCTGAGAAAGACTGATTCCATCCCATGGCATACTCTCTCTCAGAGTGGAATGTCGCCTTCAATTAGGCAGACATTGCCCGCTGCTCACACACACATACATATCGATAGGATCAGCAAAATGTAACGAATGTAGGTATTACATTTTGCTGATTCTATCGATGTGTTATACACTGTCTGACAGTGTGTGTGTGCATGTGTTTTATTCGTAATTTTTTTTTTTTTCTTCACCATCGTCATGATCATTGTCATCATCTTCATCATCATCGGCCATGAATTGTCGTTGCAAGTGGAACTAAGCCCCGACAGAGTCAGCAGGCAGATTTTTTTTTTTTTTCCACATGCGACGCGCGCAATATCTCCCGTTTCTTAAGAAAAACAACACTTCTTCACTCTAAATATTTATTTTGTGTAATTCGAAGAACATGACTTCAGAATCCATATCATAGATATGGGCGGGTGAATGGGGGGGGTACAGGGGTGGTATACGAGGGTTATGCGAGGGGTGCCATGTGTGTGTGTGTATGTGTGTGTGTGTGTGTGTGTGTGTGTGTGTGTGTGTGTGTGTGTGTGTGTGTGTGTGTATGTGTGTGTGTGTGTGATGCAGCGTCATTGATTATGTTTCTGCTACTCGATCATTGCCCGATGCGCAGAGAGAGAGAGAGGAAGAGAGAGCGAGGGAGAGAGAGCGAGAGAGAGTCTTTCATTGTCACCATCGTCATGATCATTGTTATCATCATGGTCATCATCGACCACGAACTGTCCTTGCCAGTGGGACGAAGCCCCGATAAATTGATAATTAAAAACGCACGACGACCGATTTTTGGGACTTGCAAGACCATAACTGATGCATGTGTGTGTGTGTGTATATGTGCGAGAGACAGGGAGAAAGAGAGAGAGAGAGAGAGAGAGAAAGAGAGAGAGAAAAAGAGGGAGAGAGAGAGAGAGAGAGAGAGAGAGAGAGAGAGTTAGTTTTCCATTGATTGGCTGGATCATCATCATCATCATCATCATCATCATCATTATTTTGGTCATCGTATCGATGTGTGTGTATGACAGAGGGTGAGAAAGAGACATAGTTTTCCATTGATTGGTGGATTCGAACCCTGTCATCATCATCATCATCATCATTATCATCATCGCCCGGTGCACACACATGCACACACACACACTTACACATAGACACATCGATAGGATCAGCAAAATGTGACGAATCTATTCGTTACATTTTGCCGATCCTATCGATCTGTGTGTGAGTGTGTTTGTTTGTGTACATGTGTGTCTGTGTGTGTGTGTGCGTGCAGAAGAGAATTTTCCATTCATTGCCAGAGTGCCACCGTGTCATCATCATGATCATGATTGTCGTCATCATCATCATCATCATCATCATCATCATGTCATCATTGTTGTCATCATCATCATCATCATCATCATCATCATCATCACTATCATGATAATGATCAGAGAGAGAGGGAGAGAGAGAGAGAGTTTTCCATTGATTGGTGGGGTCCAACCCTGCCACCATCGTCATGATCATTGTCATCATCATAATCATTATCGACCACGAACTGTCCTTGCAAGTGGGACGAAGCTCCGATAGAGTCAGCAGATAGGGGTTTTTTTTTTTTTTTTTCTGACAGGTGTACAAGGGTCCGATGCCCCTTACATTATTTGCTGCGCTAAAACGAGGTCGCTTTAATGACCATTGCTATTAGCACCCTTTTTTCCCCTCCGTTTTTTTTTTTTTTTTAAATTGATAATTATAAACGGACGACGACGGAGAAAGACAGTTTGCATTGATTGGTGGACTCGAACCCTGTGATCATCATCATCATTGTCATAATCGCCCGTTGCACACACACATAGACACACACACACGCATCTCTAGGATCAGCAAAATGTAACGAATGTATTCGTTACAATTTGGCAGAAAACAAAAATGAAAAAAAACATTTGTCGGTTCTAAGCAGGGTTATTTAAAACCTGATAGCGCACTCGAGCTCAACATCGCGACAGACAGTCGTAACAATTCAGTGTTGTCAAAACTCCTACTCACAATGGATCAAATCCCATTTCAAAGGAAAGAAAAAAATGCAGAGGAAACAACGTCAACCGCCCCATCGACTAACCAACACTGCGGTTAAAACTTCCACTAACACAAAGAGCGAGACAAATTTCGTTTTAGAGAGAGAGAGAGAGAAACGGAGAAAAAAAACACAATTTTCGATTCAAACTTTCCTGTTACAAAGAGAGAGAGAGAAAGAGAGGGAAAAAGAGAGAAGAGAGAGAGAGACAGAAAAACGCACCTCGATATGCCATCGCCACTGTGTATTTTGTCCCTCGCCAACGTTTGCTCGCTTCCACGTCGCTGCGCCTCCGGTCAATCAACATTCTCCTTCTCCTGAGCACGGCCGCAGTGAGCTCGTCTCCTCTATGCAACACCTTTGCTGCCTGGTGTCATAATCTCCCGCCTCGTCGTCCTTCCGATGCGCACATGCCAGCAACGTGCGAAACTCCCATGCTCATTACGCTCTTACGCTACCTTTTATATTCATATATGCACATCGCCCCCCTTCTCCCCGTCCGCCCTGCCCGCTGCCTCTTGTTTCCCCGTGCGTCCGCTTCGGCTCTTTCACATCCCCTGTGCCACCCGATTGATACCTCAATCCTTCTCTTCTTTCCGTTGCGCACATGCGCAGCAAGACCCTCTCCTCTCTGCGCCTGCTATCATTATCTCCCGCCGCGTTGTCCTTCACATACAGATCACCCATGCTCACTATGCTCGCCCACTCCCTCTTATGAGCATGTGCGCACCTCCTCTTCGGCCATTTTGCATAGGTGCGCATTGACACGCACACATGCGCACGTTGACACGCACACATGCGCACGTTGACACGCACAAACACCATGCAACATCCCGCGCTTCCGCATGCCGGCCTCACCACCGCTTGCATTTCCATTGCACGCGCCCGCCTCGTCCTCCTCGCTATCCGTCCGCGCGTGTGGTACGGGCGTCGCCCGGGGCCTCCGCTCCCTCACCCGCTTTGCTTTTCCCTGCCTTCCGTTTCCACTGCACAAGTCGGCCCTGCCCTCCGCCCCCTGAACCTCGCGTCCGCCCTCCGCCCGACGACCGTTTTTTGCCCGCGCACGTGGTATGCACGTCCCCCGGACCTCTTCCCCCTCGCCCACTTCAGTTTTCGCCGTCCACGACTTTCCCTACCAGCCTAAGTGAGGGCCTCGCCCCTACACCAATTCCCCGCACGTGGTACACACGTCGCCCCGAGCCTCCGCCGCCTCGGCCACTTCTGTTTTCCCTGCCCGAGACGGTTCACTGGCCTTGTTCCACCCCTCCACACATTTCCTGTCAGGCCGGGCCTCCGCCCCCTCGACCACTTCGGTTTTCCCTCACTGCGACGGTTCACTGGCCGAGTTTCACCCGTCCACACGTTTCCCTTGGGCCCGCGATCGAGGATGTCGGCGGGACCTTTGCTGCCTTCAGTTTCCACTGTGCACGCCGGCCCTGCCCTCCGCCCCCTGAACCTCGCGTCCGCCCTCCGCCCGCCGGCCTCGCTTTTCGTCCGCGCATGTGGGACGCGTGTAGTCCCAGACGTCTGCCCCCTCGCCCATTTCGATTTTCGCCGCCCTCGACTTTCTCTGCCCGCCTCAGCACGGGCCTCGTCCTTAAACCAATTCCACGCACGTGGTACGCGCGTCGCCCCGAGCCTCCGCCCCCTCGGCCACTTCGGTTTTTCCTGTCCTAGACGGTTCAGTGGCCTTGTTCCAACCCTCCACACATTTTCCGTAAGGCCGGGCATCCGCCCCCTCGGCCACTTCGGGTTTCTCTGGCTGCGACGGTTTACTGGCCGAGTTCCACCTGTCCACACGTTTCCCTTTGGCCCACGACTGAGCATGTCGACAGGACCTTTGCATCCTTTAGTAGTATAGGGATAAATAATATATATGGGTAGCACAGCGTACACGTACGCGTGCTCCGCATACGCGCATACGTACCGTGTACATGGACGGGAGTACCTCTTTTTAGGGCCCGCGTACGTAGCGGTAGCGGGCCAGTTGGGGGGCTGGTTTTGGCCCTGCAGGCCTAGGGGTGGGTGGGGGTAGCCCGCTGGGGACCAGAGTGGGGTGGAGGTGTGGCGCGGGGCGGGGGGAAGAGCGTCCCGGCACAATTTTCAAATTCGTGCCGGGAAGGTCTACCTCCCAAGCCGCGTCACCCCTCCACCTCGCTGCAGTCCGTCCTCGTCATCCTGGTCGTCGCCATCGCCCTGGCCGTCACCATCGCCATCTACAGTGTCGTCATCGTGGAGCTGCCGTGGAGCTGCCGTGGAGCTGCCGCCATTGCCCTGGTCGTCGCCATCGCCATTTGTCGTGCCGCGCCTGCGCCCGGAGTCGCCATCGTTGGCGAGTGCTTTCTTTATCCTCCTCCTCTTCCTCCTCCTCATCGCCCTCCCTGTTGTCCACTTCGTCCTTCCCCTCCCCATTGCCATCTTCGTCATCCTCCCCCCCCGTCGTCCTGTTCCTCCTCCTCCTCCCCATCGTCGACTTCGTCCTCCCTGCCACGTAGTTTTTTTTTTTTTTTTTTTTTTTTTTTTTTTTTTTTATCGCGTTGAAGTTTGTGATGTTTAGGGAAGGAGGAAGACGGCAATGGAGGACGAAGTGTCGACTTCCTCCTCCTCCCTTGCCACGTCCTTCTCCCCGTCGTCTTCCTCCTCCTCGTAGACTTCGTCCCGATCGCTGACTTCCTCTTCCTCCTCCCTATCGTCTTTGTCACCTTCCTCCTCCCCATCGCCCTCTTCGTCCTCCTCCGCCCCATCGTCCTCTTCCTCCTCCTCCTCCCGATCTGCCTCTTCCTCCCCTCCCCAATGCTGACTTCCTCCGTCCTCTTCCTCCTCCTCCTCCTGATCTGCTTCTTCTTCCCCTTCCCAATGCTGACTTCCTCCTCTTCCTCTCGATCATCTTCGTTGTCTTCCTCCTCCTCATCGCCCTCTTCGCCCTCCTCCTCCTTGTCGTCCTTTTCCTCCTCCTTCTCCCGATCCTCTTCCTTTCCTCCCGATCGCTGACTTCCTCCTCCTCCCCGTCGTCCTCTTCCTCCTCCTCCTCTCGATCTCCCTCTTCCTCCCCTCCCCATCGCTGACCTCATTCCCTCCCCATCGTCGACTTCCTCCCCTCCCCATCACCGACCTCCTCCTCCTCCTCCAATGATCCGATCTTTCTCTTCCACCTCCTCCTCTTGATCTCCCTCTTCCTCCCCTCCCCATCTCTGACCTCATTCCCTCCCCATCGCTGACTTCCTCCCCTCCCCATCACTGACCTCCTCCTCCTCCTCCGATCTTTCTCTTCCACCTCCTCCTCCCGA